CTTTCCCTAGCTCATCTGTTCTGCCCATGGCAAGAATGTGGAAAAATCCTTTCACAAGCACAATAATGCTTTATTTATGGTGCTGCCAGCAAAATGGAAAAGGAACTGGTATTCAGGAAGCTAAGCAGCAGAAGGGCGAATTTTGCCATACTATTAGCCATCTTATACTTTATTGCCAAGCCAATTATTCAAAAACCCTGCATCATGCCCTCCATTTAATAAATTGGTTCTACTTTCACACTACGTTGCCTTCACTGATCAGCAGCTGGGAGGTCTGCCTCTTTGAAAGGAGACTTTCACCAGTAGCACAAGAACTCCGGATAAATTTACTGTTAAGTTGATGCTAAACATTTATGGTTTAGAAAGTTCTATATTTAAGAGATTATGGTAAGTTTTCCTATTGAGTATTAATGGGCACATCCAGATGAGCATACATGTGTGTTTCCCTGGGGAGAAACAGTAGTGGCACATATTTGTATTGCTGTCTGTCCCTGGGGAATGCCCCTACATCAGGGGTGGGCAATTATTTTGGGTAGAGGTCCACTTACTGAGTTTTGGCAAGCCATCGAGGGCCGCATGACAGGCAGCCCTCGATGGGGCAGATGACTATTAATTTTCTAAAATTTTTAGGGGTCCTGTGGGCCAGAGAGAATGGCCTGGTGGGCCACATCTGGCCCGCAGGCTGCATTCTGCCCACCCCTGCCCTACATGCACACTCTGGCATGAGGCAAATTGCCCCAGGTGGGGCAGGGGAGGCTGGGGCCAGCATATGGGCTAACCCCAGCAGACTTACCTGGGGCATTTGGGGCCTTCTGGGGCTGCAGCAGTGATGATCCAATGTACAGGAGACAAGCTCTACTTTTGCTTTTGCTATGTGCACTGCACCGCTTTTTTAATCTGCATGGTTTTTGATACTGGGATTTTCCGGTATCTAAATTTAGCTCCACGCTGCAAATATACAGCACAGAGAACCAAACCATGGGCGCAGGGTGCATTTTGCGGAGCCTCAAAAGGCTCTGAGGTGCCACAAAGCACACATGCACACTCGTCCAGATGTGCTAATGTTTATATTCTGGACAACCCCCACAAGCAGAAAGATATCTATCTGTAATATGTCCAGAAGCAACAGAAACTTGAAACCTGCCAAATCAGTACATTTGCTGGCATCCCTGTATTTTCCCACTAGTGTGCTTTGAAGATGTACCTATTTATGAGAAGGCAATTCAGTTTCAAACTCAAATGAGAACTCTTGCCAAAAAGAGCACCACCTACAGGTATGCACACATCTGCACCAACACATTTGAAATGTGACCAAACATCCTTCAGGCTAGTGATTATTGTCAGTAACATCCTGGCTCATGTATAAATCAGGGAAATGGAACTAACAGCTCAGTACTAGTCTCCTCAACCACCCCATCAACTCCTAATATTTCAAGTTCAGTTCATTCTCAGGCTCTGGCATTCGGGCATAACCTTTCAAATAAAAGCACTGCTAGTCACTCTTATCCATGCTTTTTAGTTACAAATACAAATCATGATGTCGTCAATTAAGCAGGCAATTTTTTTTTGTGACTACCTATGCTGAGCCCAAGTAGGAATCTCTCTGGCACATTTGGTTCCTTTCAATCCCAGGTCAATATTCTAATTCCTATTACAAATCTTGCTCTGATTGCTACAAAACATATCTGCAAGTAACTGCAGTTCAGTTAGACAGGAAATAAAAGCTACACAAGCCTGGATGGACAATTTGTTTTAATTAAAGGCAAAGCTGATTTCAGCAGCTGCAGGTCTTGCACAGACAGACAAAAAACACAAAAAAGCTTACGACACAAACCAGTTTCTGTTGGGGATCCCCTTCCCTCACAACCCCAGACATCGGAGAGTGAGATGGGGAATCCCAGCCAAGATTCAGAAAACATTCCAAACACCAGATTCTCATGCAGAAATGGGACTCTGTGGCTGGGATCTGGCACTGTTGGGAGTGAGATGACGAACCTGGTTAGCTTGTCTAGGGTGCAAGAGTCAGTGACAGTTCAAACACTGGAATGTTGCAGCTGCCTGGGTGCACAGCTCAAATACACAAACTGGGAGGGCTGGAGAAGTACAGAGGGTTTTGGTTTATATAACCCCTGGGGCTGGGAGCTTCACGCTTTAGACCTTTCATAAGGAAACGTGTCTTAGAAATGCAACTGAGAACAGTAATGTTGCTAGTGTGTGGGTGCTGGGGGGACCCATCTTATCTGTATAGAAGGACATTAAATTTTAACATTTCCTTCTTGTATGCTATTTGGGGCTGCCCAGGCTCCAGTGTCACTGAGGCTCCTGCATGTGCTTTGCTCTGCAGCTGTTTCCCAGCTCAGAGATCCTGAATCATCTCTCAAAAACCCCTACTGCTAGCACAGCAAACGGACATTTAGATAGTTTCCATAACTTCCTTGGGACACTAACAGAAATGGCGTCCTCTTGTCTACATGAGATTTCCAGTCTTCCTCCCCCTAATAAATAACAAATAAAATGTTTTATTTCCCCTTCTGCGCCTGTTCATATGTGAACAGCACGATGTTTCCTTCTGTATGTGGGTTACACCACTTATATGTGGTGGCTTGCACATCATTCTGGAACTAGAAGTTAGGGGCTGCAGCTGTGTGGGAGTCTGTGGAGCTGATGCGTGCCGGTGGGATTGTACACACCATGCTGCCCAGGCTCACTGTCCTTGTACTCAGTCCTGCTGGACCCCTTGTTACTTGTTTGTGTGATGTTGCACATTGGGAGTAAAACTACTAGCATCCAGCGAAGAGGGAAGGGGATGGGGTGGTGGGAGAGAAAGAAAAAAAAACAAAACATTGAAAGCATCTACCTACCTATTAAAATGAGTCAGGCTGTGAATGCACAGACTACCCTGCCCTTTTTGTAAGGCTGGTCACTATGCTACTGTAAAATGTACAGGAATCAGAAACATTAATTTAAAACTCCAGAGCAATTACTTGCTTGTCCAGCAGAGCACTGTGATGCCCACTGTTGTCCCCGATTACAGCTCGAACACCTACAGCAGGAAGGGCATTTCACGCTGGAGTCTCTAACCCACACATGGGCTGCTCAGAGCCTTTGAGTGAAAGGTGAAGTGGTGTCAAGTGCCAGACTCTCCTTCATGAAACTCCTAACCAGCCCAGGAGATAGATCCCAACTCTGTCACCACCCACCTCTGACTGGAGCAGCAACTGGGGCTTTCATTGCTACACACTGACTACAAAGTACGTCTGTGTATGGAAGAATTCAGTGTGATCTTACTACTGAGACAGTAATAATAATAAAGATGTTTAGGAATAATTTCAACTACATTCCCAGTCAGCAAAGCAATCATTAATGGATTCCTAGTTTATCTCCCCAAAAGAGGAAAAGAATTGAGTTCTCATTGGCTTCTCCCATCTGCCCTTCATTCTCAGCTCTTACTTCCCATGTGGCTGGGGACATGCACGATGGAGAAGGTGAGAGGCGGTGATATCAGGTTACTGAGTGAGACAAACAGCAGTTCCTCCCTCCCTCAAGAGAGCATGGGGAATGGGAGAGTTCCTGATGTTGTTGTTTGTTGCACTGCAGACTTGTGCACACTCAGTGGGTTGGTGGAGCACTTACGCCCTCCTGACAGCAAGGAACAGAAGAGAGGGCTGCCACCTGCACAGGACTGTGTGGGCCAGTCCTGCAAACCCAACATGCCATGGTTTATGGAGCCGTCGTTTGCAAGGGTCACCACCTTATTCTCAGTGCGGTGGATTCATGGTGCCTTGTCCACGTTGCTGCTTCTGCTTCTGCTGCATTAGCAGCTGCTCCAGGGCTGAAGGTCCAGGATGCATCATGGAGCTGGACCAGATAGACTAAAAAATAAAAATGAATGAAAAAGGTAGCAGTAGCACCCATTTAGTTGGTGCTTGGGTGGAGAGGGAGGACTTCTATACATTCTCCAAGCAGAATATTTATACCATGCTCTTCACTCTAATATCTGAGATCCAGATCATTAACAAAGCACACTGGTTAATAAAAAAAACCTCTTCCATCAATAACCCTCTCTTCTTCCAAAAATATTTCCTTCTTTTAAGCTTCACCCCACATTAAACATGAAACAGAAATAATCCCTAGCTTAATTTTAGAGACACCAATATTCAGCCAACCTACTCCTTTTCCACATCATAGTCTACAACAGGGGCAGGAAATTATTTCGAGCGGAGGGCCGCTTACTGAGTTTTGGCAAGCCATTGAGGGCTACATGACAGGCAGCCGGGGTAGATAAATATTAATTTTCTAAATGTTTTAGGGGCCCCGCAGGCAGGACAGAATGACCTGGTGGGCTGCATCAGGCCCATGGGCTGCATTTTGCCCACCCCGGTCTACATTGAGAAGAGATTTTCACAGAGCTATTTGAAACCATGGTTGTCTCATGTCTGGTTCACTGTCTACCTAA